AAACATGTGAGAATCTGGAAATAGGAACACGGGGCCAGTCTATCAATAACAATTGGAAGGAAGCACGCAAATATTTAATAACCGCCTCACAAATGGGTGATGTATGTAAAAGAAAACTGCATGTCCAGATGCACTTGTCCGTAGACTTATGGGATATACCCAACCCCCTCACCAGGCAAATAGCCTAACATACGGAAGGAGCAATGAAAAGAAGGGTATTAAAGCTTATGTAAAAGAACACTCTTTAAAATGTGGAAAGGGAAATGTGCAATATTGTAGTAGGGGTCTTAATGTAAATCCTAAATATCCATTCCTTGGTGCCAGTGCCGATAGTTTGATTTTGTGTAAAGTTTGTGGAAATAGGTTAGTGGACGTTAAATGTCCCTATGGCCATAAGGATAATAAATGGAAAAATATGACCCCTGCTGAATGTGCCCAAGACAGTTCATTTTGTTGTCATCTCTCTGATCATAATACTCTGTTGTTAAAGGTAAATCACAATTATATGTATCAGGTACACGGACAGTTAGGTTTGTATGAATTAAAGTGGGTTGACTTTGTAGTGTGGACAAAGGAGGGCTTTAATGTCCAAAGGATTAAGTTTGATGTTAATATGTGGGCTGAAATGCTTGTAAAAATAAGGAAATTTTATGGTACTTGTGTGATTCCTGAACTCTTCACTAGACGTATCAAAAAGGGCAAACCGCTTTACTGTTGCTAGGTATGCAGAAATTGAGAAAAGCACATAAATACACTTATTTCACAGTTTAATTATTTCCTTAATAGTCATGCAGTATAACCCTCTATATCATTTCTTAAAGTTATGACTTCAACAGAACAGGTCTAACTTAACAAGCATTCTGAGAGTATTAGCAATACTAGTCCCCTACCGGCAAGTGTTATCTGGTTACCGTATGATATTGAAAATGCCATAATTCAGTCAAAAAATATTTGAAGCAAAACAGAATGCAAAGGATCATAAACTCATCAAAATACACTCCACATCAAAAACAGCTCAATATCTTTAAGTGTTTAGGAAAAATGCGGAAAACCAAGTGGAACAGACGGACGGACAAACGCAGAGAAAACCTACAGTCCCCTCCGGTTTCGCCGGTAGGGGACTAATAATGCATGTGTGCAAAAATCAAAGAGAAAAAAAATCCAATGAAAATATCAGATCCATGTGTATCATTTTGATATTAAAGCAATTTGTGTTGATTAAGTTTGGTTATAACTCCTTGGGCTAGGTTGGGGCTACCATATAGGACCAATATGTTTTATTAGAATGAAGAGGGAAAACCCTGTGACTCAGGTGAGCAATGTGGCTTATACTTTTAGGCCTGGTATTAGTAGTTCAGGCAGTAATTGAACTTCATGTGAACTTTTGCATAACACTTGCATTTATTATGTCTTAGTCACTTGATATATTTGTACACTACTCTATATTATACAAGCGTTATTGATATTCAAATACTTGTACACACTGTACAGACTATACTTTAAAATAATGGCATTTTTAGATACCTGCTTAACCCATGCAATTTGAAAATTGAATTAAAGTGAATAAATTTCATAGATTTATTTGTTATAATTTCAATCTTTAACATTTAACAAAATGAAACTGAATTTTGTTTTATGTAAGCAGAGGTGGAAGTAGGTTGGTCAATGCTGTGCAGATAAATATCATCTGTTCTGCTAAGTGTGCTTCTGATAATGGTAGAGTTCCACTCAAAATGCTATAGTTTCTGATTTGTTCCATTTTCATCTCGACTACAATACGGGCCGATGCAATGCCTTGGGTGTGAAAAAAAAAACTCTTCAGTGGTCATTTGTCTATGACCTGGTATACGTGGTGGTATATTTAAGCCAACATCTGCAGGGAGAAGGTCTTCAACAGCGAAACCCTTATCTGCAATGATTACATCACCAGCAGATAATTTTGGCAAAAGAGAATCGTGCATTGTTATATGACGGTCAGATGTGTTGCCACAGTCTGGAAACAAACGTAACTTGTCCATTTGGTGCTACCCCTATCAAAATTTTAAATGTATTCGAATGTTTATATTCAGACCAGGTGGCCCACTGAGCACTAAGTGGTGATGGTTTTTCAGTGTAGAACTCGGTACAATCAAGAATTATCCGTAGGTCAGGATAGTCTTGAAATGCTTGTGGTAGATTACAAAAAATTTGTTCTCTTGTTAGCCAACAGACAAGTGACCTGCAATGATCATAAATGAAATTTATCCATGTGTTCATAATACGGGACACTGAAGACAATGAGACTCTGAATAAGTCTGCTAGATGCTCTTGCAGCATTCCTTGTCTTAATCGCATACACACCATCAGAAACTCATCTACAGGTCTGAGTTTTCTCTATCTACCAGGTTTAGCACTGTTATTAACATGGTAATTTTTTCACAAAGAGATCTTGTGTTTCCTTTCCAGTAACTAAGACGGTCAGCACCATGTTTCATCAGAGTTGAGAAGAATAACCAAAACATGGAAGATGATAAGAACCCTGTATAAAATCTAATTTTGTTATCATCATGTCTAATATCTTCATATGACATGAAAAGAAGCTTAGACTCCACACTACATTCTTTTACGTCAGTAACTTGTGGTTCTCCAGCTTGAGTGGAGACATGTTGCAGGCAAACATTTTCATTGTCCTGTGGATTTATATTCTCATTGCTGTCATTAGTTAAAGTCACAATATGCGATTCATCTTCCTGTGTAAGGTTAGAACCCAGGGAAACTGAATCCTCACCATCTGTAACATTCTTTTCATAGTTATAAGAACAGTTCAAATCATGTTTTACAAGGGGACGTCTAGTATTTTGTGGCTTTTGTTCCTTAGAAGGGAAAATTGTGGGAACTGAATGTTCAGTGTAAGGTTCTTCAAAATGTCTAGAACAAATTCTCGTGTTGTCATTAACTTTAAAATTTGCACGAATATTTTTAACTCTTGAAATCCACATAGCTCTTATCTTCTTTCTTTTCTCACCAATTGGGAAACGTCTCATAAATATTTTGTTTCCATTTTCATCTAGACTGTCTGACGTACTGTGGCATAATGGCACACAGCAATACTTTTTCCCCATCTAGTAAAAAAATATAAATATCGCATGAACTCAAAAGGATTATTACTCAAAACAAATTGATGTAAAGTTAAAAACAGTTATAAAGTGTTTGTCAAACTGTAAGAAAAGAAGCAACAACAATATGCACAGTGTAAACCGTGTCACGGAAATCGTGATGGACGGGTATAGACTACATGTACATGCATGACATTTCATGATTTTTTTATACTTATTTCCTACAAATATGCAAACAGAAATAAAATCATAACTATCCATTTTAATATAAAATCAAATTTCCCAAGAAATATACTTGTGATTATAGCATTTTTCATGTGTTAAGCTCGAGTGATTTTTTTGTATTTCTTAAGATTGCGAATTTCCTCGATGTTTTACTCGATAAATATACGTGATTGAAAATGTTATCAATGCCAACCAAAACATAGATATCAATATTTTCATTGTAAAATTCGTCTTTAATAATTTTAGACAAAAAACTTCATTTAATACTTACATTCTTGATGAAAATTTACCAACGGCGACTATAAGTGTAGATTAGAGTTCTACGAGTCGGGTACTACCCGGAAGTGACCTTCGATTTACGCGCCACCTATCGGTTCAGTTCGAGACAACTCTAATAAGTTTGCATATCGGAAGCAAGCAAACCTAGCATCGTTTTAGATAACTCGAGACCCTTTAGTGCCGAGACTCTCTAGTGCTCCAGTACAATTTCTGAAAAAAAGGGGTCTAGGTCACACCGCAGGCAATTACATTCAGGCCCGTAGCAATGGTTTCAAAGGGGGTAACCTCCAAAAAGAATTGACAAGCAGAAATAAATGAATAAATAGTAAGTTAAAATAACAACCTGTGCACCACCCTATAAAATCCTATTTCGGAAGGGGGGAGGAGGGGACTTCGTTTTACTTTTCGATACATTTTGATTTCTTTTAAATATTGATTTTCCCGCAAAAAGTGCGGGGAAGCTTCCAATGCAAATTAAAACTTATATATTCAAATTAAAACAAAAGATTTTTTTAAAAGAAAAAGTTAGCCCCCCTCCCTCACATACTACAGGGATATTTTGAACCTTTGTCTGCATTGATTAAAAAATCTCCATAATATAAGGAGATAAATATTCTCTTATGGATACTCCCTTTCATGACTTTTTATGCATACTTCTTAAAGTTTGTTACTTTAGAAGATGGTCCAAAAATGGCATAGCCGTACATTCGCTGGAATATTCCGATGATATCAAAGTGAAATCTTTCATGTTACGTGTGGGTGGTCGAGGCCCGGCGCCAGGATTGTGAAGGTACACGGAGGAAGCAATAAGTAAAACTCTATCTAGAGTGCTGAAAGGGCAGAGATTGAAGTACTTATTTTATTGAAAATACTAGGTGTAAAAATATATTATATATTACAGAAAAAACATTCTCTCTTCCTCTTTCTACAAAAATAAAGGGGGTTCCAATACCCGACCCCCCCTTCCTTGGATCCGCCAATGGAGATTACGATACCTGCATGCTTAAGCCTCTTTAAATTCTGTTGTCAATTTTAAAGGCTACATTTCAATTGTGATAGATACCTAGATCAACATTTCATATTCATATCATTTCAAGGTCATGATTTTTTTTATCATTACAGCCTAAGCAGACTTAAATAACGATGAAAATTACCAAAAAAAAAAAAATAAATTTAATTACACCTTTGTTAAAACTTTCTTTGAATTTCGTTTAGAAACACATGCATATGGTCCAAGTTTTGCAGTCCTTTTTAAAGGACAGCAAATTAACTGTTTTATTTCTTTTATGGAAGTAATTCAATTAGTTCGCGAAATTTTGATCATCCTTGTAATGAGTAAGATAAGACTAAAATGTTTTTTTGCGTATTTATTTATTAAGTTCAGATAAAATAGATACGTATCAAACATTGATAACCAGGATCAACCAAAAGCAGGGCCCAAGCTATTGCTATATTCGGCAGCTGTCATATCTATCAAAAAAAAAAAAAAAAAGAAAAAGAAAACATGATTTATTTATATTTTTGTATAATAAAGCCTTTTTATTTTATATATCGATGTTTTTAATATTATAAACACAGAAGTCCATATATAAGGAGACACGCACACACACAGAGAGAGAGAGAGAGAGAGAGAGAGAGAGAGAGAGAGCAAATTTTATGATATATTATTATATCTTGTTTTACAAGTTCCTTTAATATCTCAAAATGTATTGTCTATCTAACGTACATGTACGAGGGTCATTAAAAAAAAAACGTATGACCAAATTTGTTAGACATATCTAAACAATAAATCCAAATTAGGCGAATTAAAAAAAATCATATAAATCATGATATATATAAAAAATATCTAAGACTTAAGACTACCAAACCTTAAAATTGAGTAATTCTATAACAATACACTTTAAAATGTCTTTAGTCATATCTCTAATAAATGATACCTAAAGAACAAAAAAATTTAGTATTTTTATATCATTTCTGATGCAAAATTGCAATGTAATATACACTAGATAAAATTGCCAACGCAGTGGTACCACCAAAGATAATTCATATTTAACTTTTCAAAAATTTCTTATGACGTATTTGATAATAAAATTGTTACTAAAGTTTAAAGTAAGTCATTTAAATATCTTAACTGATAAATGAATAAAAACAATGTTAACTGAGGCGTACCCATCTCATAGAAGAGAAAGAGAAGATCATATTTCAAAGGGTCATATTATTCTCACTGCTTGAGTCGGCCTAGTAAACGTCGAAACGGAGATGCTCATATTATCTTTATAACTTTTAATTTCACGATATATTTACCGCTGATGCTTCCATTAACCGATTAAGCACTTAATTTTTGAGTCGAGGAAGGAATAATTCCTAACCCGATTGCACACAATTCAATTTTCACATTTAAAAGAGAAAAATAACGTTAAAATACCGAATATTATATGTAGTAGTTGTTTTTTTTTTAATTTTATATTTCTCTGATTGAAATACAAAAAAACATATTAAAAAAAATAAAGTAAAATAAAATAAAATAAAACAAGCTAGAACACCAAACAAATATTCAATTAAAATGCTATTGATCTGGAGGTAAATTACATTACTTCCGTTAAGCACGCACTCACCCACTTTCTCACAAGAATTTCATTGTGAGGGGATAAAAATTATAGAATACAAATTGAAAATTTGTCAACTTTTGACACTTACTTTTCCTAAGTTCAAAACAGCCTGCAGCGTTACATCTGTCTCCTTTACAACAGGCGTCACAAATACGTGTACCTTGATCACCGTGAATAACTCTACCGCGTCTTCCATGAGTTCCGTTTCTGCCATCATTTTCTACTATAGCATGACAAACCTATTAAAATAAGTTTCAAAAGATTAAGCAGTGTTTATTATTTAGAGTCTTTGCATCAACAAATGTAAGGCATAATTAATTAAATAACTATATATAAGATACAGAATCAAAATGAAAAAAAATAATGGAATTCACAACAGTTTCTCGATCTTGCTAAGATATGGCACTTTTTAAAATGATTCAATTTCATTAACAGACCTCCTTATTTTCTCAATTTCAAATTTCCTCTGATTTAGAGATCTCATTTTTCTTCCAGAACTATGAGAAGAATTTTCGTTTTTCTAGAAAATCAGGGGACAACATTCTTTGAAACATTCAATATTTTAGAGGAGCTGGGATTTAATTCTGCAAGTAATCCAAATTATACCCATATCTTCCTTTCTATGGAAGAAATTCTTCAAAATCATATGTCAGTTTTAATGCCCTGTTCACACGGAGAGTTTAATTCGAATTAAACGTAAGTTACTGCGAATTAAATTTGATTCGCGTTCACACGGAGAATTTAATGCGAATTAGTTTAATTCGAATTAGTTTACTGCGCATTAAATTACTTCGCATTAGCTCCGTGTGAACGCTAAGCGAAGCTAATTCGAATTAAATTTGACGCATGCGTAAGGGCAGAATTAAGTCACAGGCCACATGTCGATGGTCAAATATAGGTACTTGTGCTATTTTTGAGTGGAAAACAAAGGAAAATTAGGTAAATCACTAAAATGTGTACAGACACTATGACATTATGTCAAATGTATATCTGCTCTGCACAATATGACGTGATTTGTAAATGACGTCATAATAGCCTCACTGAATAGTCTTGTTGTAGAAATAAAATTATAATTCGCATTAGTTTACTTCGCATTAGCTGTCGTGTGAACGCAATTTAATTCGCATTATTTTAATTCGCATCATTTTACTTCGCATTAATTTACTGCGAATTAAACTCTCCGTGTGAACAGGGCATTAATATATTTTTATGTTCCCAACAACCAAATTCAATTTGAATTACCATACTTATACTGGATTCCTAAACTACATAAAATCACTACAAACAAAGATACATAGCGGGCTCCAGTAAATGTTCTACCAAGCCTTATTCTTTACTCCTCTCTAAAATATCCACAGCAGTACTAGTGAAGGAGAATTTCAGGAGTACTGTACAACAATATATTTGAGAAGTGGTGTAAATCAGATGTGGATACTTAAAAGCCCCAAAAAACTTTCAGAAAATTTGAAGTCACAATATTTTACCAAAATCAATAACATCAAAACATACGGCTTTTCAACTTTTATACAACCATACCCCACGACTGAAGTCCAGACTTCTTGACATAATAGGCAGCTGCTTTTTCATTAAAAATGGAACCCGTAAACTTACTTACATTGTCATTTGTCAATTGTTATTTTCAATTGTTGAAAAAACATTCTGATTGTACACACAAGTACTCCAAAGTTGATATTTAAAAAATGCTTGAGTTTTTGATTGACAATATTTTTGTAGTTTTTGGAGCTTAAATCTTCCAACAATCTGTCACAATTCCCCTGGGTTCCAATTGCGGCCCTTTATTGGCAGACCTATTTTCATATTCATATGAAGCAGAATTTATTCAAATACTTATACATAAGAAGAAATCACTTGCATGGCCTTCAACTCCACATTTAGATATATCGACGACGTATTATCAATAACAATAGTTGCTTCCATTCATATATCGACTCGATATATCCCAGTAAACTTGAAATAAAAGATACTGCAGAGTCTGACAAATCTGTTCCATACAGGGATGGGGTCAATTACATAGGAAAGTAATTAATTAAATTACAATTACTTTCCCAAAACCTTCAATTAAATTACCATTACCATTACAAGGATTTTGAAATGTAATTAATTAAATTACAATTACTTTGCAAATGTAATTAATTAAATTACAAATTACTTTAAGAAAAAACGTATAAAATTAAACAATGATAAATAGTCATGAACGCCTATTTATATTCATATATATTAAGTTACTTTTTATAACAATAAGAAAACATTGTTTAGATGTTAGTGAAATTTTTAAATATTGTGTCCCCTAACCTAGATCTATCAGGTTTAAAGATTTTTCTGCCACATTGATATTTTACACTGGGGTATTTGTGACAGGAATACATATTAGATACTTATTAAAAGCAAGTTCCAGGGCTTAATTGACCCTTTTTGGTACTCGGTCCTGTACCCTTTTAATTGTGAATTTTTAATCGAAAAAGTGGCCAAATTGGGAAATGTTGTTGACTTATATTTATTTGTTGATTAAAGAGTTAAATAGTGGACTTGTTCCCTATATACACATGATATATATCTTTAAAAATGATTAAAATTTCAAAAAATGTTATTTCTATGATTGTATAAACAGCATTAAAAAATGAATTTGGTCATTATTTGGGAATTGTTACCTGAATTGTAGGGGAAAAAAGTCAATTTTCAACTGGGACACGGTCCTTTACAGGACTTGGATGCTGTTTTACCTTAATTCATGTGTCCGTTTTTAAGCTTTCTGATATATTTATGCAATGGATGCGTTTTGCCTTGTTTCCTGATTTTTTTCATCATCCTAAGCTATATATCTCAAAATGTTCGTCTTTGACATATTGTGTGTCAAACTATCGTCTTCCCACAAATTTTTATTAAAATAGAAAAATTGGTGTTATAACACCAAATTATATATTTTCAAAAAGATCTGTGGGAAGACATAGTCAATGTGTGTGGACTAAACTACCCTTAGGTAAAGTCAAAATGAGTGTAAAATCTCTATTTAAGTTAAGTGTCAATATGTACATGTGCATGACCCTAGGGCACTTATTAGCACCTGTTAATCACTTCTAACACAAGCTGTAGGTATGGCAAACGGTGATTCATGGCAAACAAAGGATTAGAAGCCATTGGACTAGATATCTTAAGTGTCAGTTCATAAACAACTTAATTGAAATTATTAATTTTATTTGTACATTATAATCAAGGAGATAAATATGATTAAAAAGTTTTGAAGAAAATGCATTTTAAAGAGAAAACAACAATTCACTAATTAAAGGAAATATATAATTTTTCAAATTTATTGTAGAACATTTTGTCCAAAAAATCAGTTAACCTTTCTTGAATAAAGTGTATGGGATTTGAAGGGGAGGGGGGCTATTTCTCATTTATTAAACACCAGTGTAATTGAATGTAATTGAAAAGTATTTATGGATTACATGCTTTTCTTTAATTGTAATTAATTAAATTACAATTACATGTAATTGAAAATTTGGCCAATTACACATTACTACCAATTACATCGAAATTTGTTATTAATTACTGTTAATTACCATTACACATTACCATTGCCCCATCCCTGGTTCATATTTGGATATTTTATCAGAAAAAGCGTTAATGGTAACCCAACAACAAAAATGTATGATAAACGTGATGATTTCAACTTTCCCATCGCCAACTTCCCTTAATTATGTAGCAATATACCCTTATCACCTGCATCTGAAGTTTATGTCTCCCAGTTGATTCGATACGCATGCTCTACATACGAACAAGACAAGGCACGTTATCGACAAACAAGTTGATAAACACATTTTGATGAAACAATTATCTCAACAGTCTGCTTTGAAGTCAACATTTCGCAATTTTACGGGCAATACAATGACCTTGTCAGCAAATACAATCTATGATTAAGTGGAATGTTGACTGACGTTTTTCGTACTAAAAGTTAGACCATTATTTACACAATGAATTGTCTACGAATTTTTCCGTTTCCCCGATCATGACAAGGACCACACAGCGGGTGTGACCGGTAAACAGGGGATACTTACTCCTCCATGGCACTGATCACACAGCGGGTGTGACCGGTAAACAGGGGATACTTACTCCTCCATGGCACTGATCCCACCTTTGATGCTTGCGCTGCTCCCGATTGTATTGTTTTAATGGACTTTTGAGCTTGATTACTTTTATTATTTCCTCATTTCATTGTATAGTAAAAAAGACCATTACTTGATTATTTTGATAATTCTACCTAACTGAGGAGAGTAAAATGTCAACTTTTTGAATATTTTCATCAGATTTCAACTTTAAAATCATAATGCGACTTCTCGAATATGACACAGAAACTATAGTTTGAAAAGCGGAATAAAAGCGGCCTTAATCTACTATGCACGTCATAACTAACACAATTTACTTTATAATTTAAGCAAAGTTGTTTTTTTTTACCTTATAAAAATGTGCTTAAAATCTGTTTGATTTTAGGTAGGCTTCTCTTGTACAATGACAGAAAAAGTATGGTTCTCTATCATTTCAAATTTAACTGTGGCACAAGATTTACGCCAATTGCCAATATTCGCGGTCATTTCACGACCATATTCGCGAAGAAACCACTGAATTTATTTAAAAACACAACTTTTCTGAATCACAAATTTAAAGTACAAATGGTATTAATTTTTATTTGGTAAATTGAAAATATATTCAATAATAAAAGCAATAAATTGATATCGAATAAACATGGTGTAAAACAAAAATTAGAATATTTCCAATATGTATGTCTACAATTATTCTCTTATAGAATCTGAAAGTAATAGTACTAGAAATAACAAGTTTTAAGTGTTTTCTGGTAGCTAGGTAACACAATCAACCAAAGTACATCTATATATTTGCAATTAATGGTCTCAGTTGACTAAAGTTTCGTACATGATTACGATACAGGTATACGATGTTTGACTCGCGGTGTCAATGCAATTTTAAAGACGTGGTTATCTATAATAAAGTTAAGTAATTAATTGGTTTTTAAATATTTTGCAATTACTGGGAATGTGAAAAAATGGCTTCTCTCTTTTCATTCATGTGTGAAGTCCAGCGAGGTCTAGACTAGATAATTGATTGTGCAAGCAAGAAATAGGCCCTCATTAGAGAAATTAACGGTTTAGCATTAGAAACTGAAAACGGTACATAAATTGGAAGTTCATTTTGAGATCATTAATCTTCC